TTTTAAAAAAAAAACTCTATTTTATTTTTCTCTTTTATGCGCAACCACTTCGTAAATTTGTCTGCTACTTACATCATAGGATCTATAGATATAGTTTGTGCAAAGTAATGATTGAATATATATGCCTGTCCATGCAGGCTAGGGATGTCCTGGAAGCACTTCAAAGTTGTAAGATCTCCGAGCGTAAAGTGTGTGTTACATGGGTGAACCGGCGGATGGTGCGCGGATACTGGATTGGTGATGAAGGTTCTTCTGGTTGGGTCAGTCTGGCAGATCTTGCAACGGTAAAAGAGTATGTTCTTATCTTGCTTCGTGATTGTCGCGATAATGATGAGATTTACTAATTGAGGTTGAGTTGCCTCTAAAGTGACGATGGTTTGAGATTGCGGTGACTACATTACAGGAAGAGGAGGAAGAAAGGGATAGGGAATTTCTTTTCCTTCACAGTTTTCCTATAATCATATTATAGTCATGAATGCTAAGAGTCTAGGTGAATGAGACAGCTTGCCCAGTGCACAATAAAATAATTTCTTTGGGGTATTAATTTCACCCTTAAATTTTGATCTTTTCATTGGCATCCTTATGTAAACTAGAATACTTATGGAATCATGGAGTCCATCATGGTTATAGATGCTAATTAAGAACAATATGTATCAATCACGCATGAGTAGGTAGACATTGAGCCTTAGGTAACTTGTTATATTTCCAATATATTAACAACAACTCCTAAGTTTGAAAAACCAAATCATTCGAATCTCATTAATTTGTTCTTCAATATTAATCTGAGCACATGGAGCAATTAGAGCATTTATACTTGATGATATAGCCATATTGCTTCTTCCCTTGAGGTCCAAGACTCCAACTATTTCCCTTAATAAGATTGTTGATCTTTGTATTTTTTATACCTGGGGTTGATAAAAAAAATTAGTGTTTTTCTTTCTGGATATGTCAAAAGAGATAGTTGTTTTGTAATTTGCTCAACTTAAATTGTATATTTTATAATTATTGATAAAGAAAAATCATTTCATTATAGTTTTCAAATGAATGATTAACTTGTTAAAATGCTGAGTTTCAAGTAAAAAATTTTAAATTCAAATTTTGAGTTGTGAGAAAAGATTTAAGAAAATGTGAGAATTATTTTTTATTGTATAACCTATTATAAACATTAAAAAAAAAAAAAAAAAACCACCCCATTATCGATGGACCCATCTTTCATCA